GGTTAAGATATCTTTGACCTTCTGGAGAGACAAGAGATAAAAAGCAAACAAGCATAAAGTACAACATATCAGATGGTGACTATTTCCACGGCAAGGAAGAATGAAGTGGGGAAAATAGAGGTGAAGTCACCATTTTTTTTTTTTTAGTATCACCTACTATTTCTAGAAAGAGATCACAATTTCAAGACAGTGGTTAGGGAAGGGCTCATAAGAGAGTGACATAAGCTAAGTCATGAAGCAGAGTAAAGAGTGAGCAACGTTGGCCTTTGCGAGAGGCACACTGCTGGAAGTTAGCACAACAAACACAGAGGCCCTGGGCTGGGAGCCTGCCCGTCCTACTCAAGGTACAGGAAGGAGACCAGAGCGTCTGGAGAATTCCTGAAATATTTAGAAGTTAAAAGTCGACAGAATTTGACCCTTTCTCAGTTCATCTCCACCACTCTGGATTACTGCGATGTCCTTCTAACTGAAATATTTGGAATTTGAAGTCAACAGAGCGTCCAGCCTGGCTGGATGTATGTTATGAGGGAAAAACTGGATTCCAGCATGTTTCCTAGATGTCAGCCATGAGCAACTGGTATTTCCTGAGCTGGAGAAAGCAGTGGGAGGAATCATTTAGATGTGAACGTCGGGAGTCTGGTTTGGGACAAGGTTGAGTTTAAGATGCCCGACAGAGACAGTGAGGCAGTTAGATAGACAAGCCCAAGGTTCAGGAGAAGAGTCCAGCCTGAAGAGAGAAATCTGTAAACTGCCTTGATTCTAAAGGCACTCTGATCTCCGAACTTTGTGCTGCCTGCCATAGTTCCTTTCCTTCAGTGTCTCTCTCCCTCTCCTCCTTTCCATCTGCTCCTTCCTCCCCTCTTCCTTCCTGAGGCAAAAATTTGTCTTTAGTTCTTGAATATCTGTACCTTTCTAAAATTCCCCGTGCTCGAGTGCGCAGCAAACAGTATATTTTCATAACATCATGTCAGAGAAACTGGTTTTCCCTTACCCTAGTACCGTAGTTTAAAAGTTAAAAAAATGAAACTCCCACGATTCTGATAAACCCACCAGGTTTTTAAGCCCAATTTCCTCTCCAAACCAACAAAATTCAGTCATGTGTGAAGGAAACTTACTGCTCGCAGAGCCGTCCTGGGCCATGCTGAAAGAGAGCCCTGGAGTCTGAGCTTCTCAACAATGAATCGTTGCCACGGAGCCCGCTTTTATATGACCAGCCCGATAGTCCCACCCATTAATTTGATCATTTGGGTAATTCTCAAGCTCGCCTTTACCAGTCACATCATTTCTTAGTAACATGCATTTTTTTAAAAAGTGTAAACAGCATAGTACTCACAAATGTTGTTCTTGTAATGGTTTACTGTAGGGATTGGTGTAAATCATTAAATATCAGTTGAGAAAAAGGAGTCCTATCTGGTCTTTTTTAGGGTTTTCAGGTGGTCTGATTCAAGAATCAGCTGTTAGTGATGG